GGTACGTATTCAACTCAGCCGGATTCTATTGTATATCTGACGGTGCTTGATAGGTACCTGCACACCCTCAACATCGACAAGGACATCCTGAGCATGAAGAACTTCAACGTGTACGATCCTATGCGGCGTGGGCAGGGACTAGTCCTGGACGGTCAAACGCTTGCGCACGTTGAAGTATGGATGGGTAGTTCTTGTGTGAATCGATGCTGACCTTTATGTTTAGGTCCTGCAGAACAGTGAGGGAACGGAAGAGGGTACGTTGCTCAAGTTGCTTGGCAGGTGCATCACTCCGTCAGGTAGGTCACGTATCTTTGACCGCCGTGAGATGAACATTAACAAATAATGTGTAGGCAAGCGTCTCTTCCGCATCTGGCTATGTATGCCTCTTCGCGAAGTCTCAGACATCAACGCCAGGTAGGTCATAAGCAGCAAGAATACGAAGCTAGCGCTTAAAGGAGGTATCTAGGCTCGACGCTGTGCAAGACTTACTCGACCATCCCACGTTTGAAGCGGATTTCACGGGAATTGCAAAGGGTCTACCTGACCTTGAGCGTATCGTCTCCCGTATTCATGCCAAGCATTGCAAAGTCAAGGATTTCATTAAAGTCCTCGCAGTGCGTTTTGGAGAGGCCGCTCAATGTCCTACACCACTGACCTGGAAATGGGCATATAGGCGTTTAAGAACCTTAGCAAGGGTCTGGCTAGTTTAGCTGACACTGCAGACTCCTTTGACTCCAAGAGCATTCCCGGGCTCCTTCGTTCCGCTCCTGACCTCAGCCCGAACTTGAAACACATCAAAGCAATGTTCAAGCCTCCGGAGGATGGTAAATATATTTGATGTCGGGTGTCGTGCACCGTCTCATCAGTCTTCGCTACCATAGGCAGCGACGAACTTGTTCCTGAAGACGGCCAAGATGAAGACTACGACGGCGTCATGGAAGAAATTAATGAACTGGAGGAAGAGCTAAAGAGCGAGTTGAAGAGGCTTCGCAAGCAGACCGGGTGGGCAGATACTTTGACGTTCTATTTTGGCAGTGTTGATTGACCTTTCATAGATTGGACCTCTCGTATTGGCACAGTGCCCAGGGTACCAAGGTACGGATTCTTGTTGTCTGACTGTACGTTGCATGAGGTTTTCTGACTTAAATCTTTTAGGAAATCTATCTTGTGCAACTTCAAGGGAAGGAGCGAGAGAAGGCCCCCAAGACCTGGACCCTGAGCGGTTCGACGAAGGTAACACATCAATCTAGAGCTCGCCGTGGTAGACAACAACTTACGTCTACCTATCTCAGGCTGCGAAACGCTACGTTGTCCCAGAACTGCAAGGCACGATCCGAAAGCTCAAGGAAGCTCGGGAAAATCGTAACACCGCTATCAAGGGCTTCAAGAACAGGCTGTATGCGGAGTTCGACGAGGATCGCAGCGTGTGGCTGCGCGCCATCCGGGTGCTCGCAGAGCTCGACTGCCTGTTCAGTCTAGCCAAGGCGTCAAGTGCTTTGGGAGAACCCGCGTGCCGGCCCGAACTCGTCGAAGGTGATGAGGCTTTCATCGACTTCGAGGATCTGAGGCATCCGGCTTTATGCGCGAGCGGCTCGTTGAAGGGCGACTTCATTCCGAACAACGTGAGACTGGGGGGAGACGTGGGCAGAATCGCGTTGTTGACTGGTACGTTGTGAACGCCCTAATGACCCGGGGGGTGCTGACACTTCATGCTTTAGGACCAAATATGGGGTAAGTGCGCGAAAGAAATCGTAACGCACCCCGCTGACCTTCGAGAAATCAATCTCTAGAGGAAAATCTACCGTGAGTAAGCCCTCTGTAGGCTTTCAGATGTTGTGACTAACGTGTCTATAGGCGATGCGTATGACTGCCACCGGCATTGTGAGAAACATGTTCCAGTGTGAATTTGGCGAAGGGACTGACTGCGTGACTGATAGATCATGGCTCAACTTGGGATGCTCGTCCCAGCGAAGAGTGCTCGGTAAATCGCTTCGTCTACGTTCATGTTTATGAGTGGCTCACTATGACGGCAGCCTATGCCCCGTCGACTCGATCCTCACTCGCATGGGCGCATACGATAATATGTTCTCGAATGCTAGTACGTTCAAGGTCGAGCTCGATGAATGGTGCGTGTCTTCCTTTCCATGCTCAACACGACATTGATCGACATATCCCATAGTTGTAAAATTCTTCGTGATGCGACGCCCAAGTCGTTTGTCATTCTGGACGGTACGTAACCGAGGCTTCCTAAACCGACTATCATATTCATGTCAGAATAGAGCTCGGTCGCGGAACTTCCACATACGTACGTCTGGGATACTCTTATTTTCGTGCGGCACACCTAACACGTAGTATAGGATGGTATGGCTATTGCTGGCGCCGTCCTTCACGAACTGGCTACGCACACACTTTCGTTGTCATTCTTCGCCACCCACTATGGGTCGTTGACCGACGACTTCTCTTACCATCCAAATATTCGGAACATGCACATGAAGACGCTTGTTGACGACGAGAAGCGAGAGGTATGTCATTTCCCACTGTAGAGAGTGTCAAATGCGCTGACATTGTCTCGCACAGCTGGTATTCTTGTACAAGCTCGTAGAAGGCGTCGCGAGCTCCTCCTTCGGCACGCACGTGGCTAACCTTGCCGGGGTGCCCCTCGCAGTGGTTGAACGTGCCGAGGTCGTCTCCCGAGACTTCGCGAAGCACTTCAAAGAAAAGATAGAGGGGAAGAAGAACAAGGTGTCTGGCCGGCTTCCTCTTGTGGCCCAGGCGGACTTTGCGTACCTCTACAAGCTCGCCACGGGTGCTGTCGAGATGCCAGAAGACAAGGTCCGCCGGCGAGAAGTGCTCAAGGTGCTGAAGGGCGCTGTGAAGGGCTGCCTCAAGGAGTGTGGTGTCTCTGCTTGATCACATTCGTCGTGATGATGTATTACAGATTTCGTTGTTGTCCGAGTCCCTGTTCCGGATTTGCTCTCGATGCTCGCTCTGCTAATCGCTTTGTGTATACGCCGTGCAATATTACTAATGATGTTTCGCCCGTGTCGGGAGTGTGCGCGTCGTGTACACTCATCGCGGCATGAACAAATATTCGTTTGGGACGCACTCAGTTCCCGGAGCGTGTAAATGCATAAGCTAGTAGGTTCGGTAGCGGAACAGATTTCGAATGGAACACCAGCCTATCGATGTCTGTGTCGCGTCATGGTGTGGGTGTATCGAAAGGAAGAAACTGTAAAGGACCTTCGGGACCTTCCACGAGCCGCATCTCCGGTTTCACCCCATTCCACCATTCCTTGGCCTTTAGAAGATGGCGGTCCTGCTGGCGTACCTATCGAAACATTGTCAGCCACCGACCAAATATGTAGTCTCCCGCAAGCGACCCACCATCGGTACACTGAGATAGGAGTCGCCTGCGCAGCGAATGATGAGTGCTTTACTCGGAGGATAGAACGTCGCGGTACCCTCCGTGGGGAGGTGTTCCTTTACGTTGGCGGGTATATCGATGATAACAGCGAGTTCATGCAGCTGCAGCGTGCGCTGGGTCTTGAGCAGGGTTGTCATTGGTTTCTAAAGGCAGTACCGTATGAAGCCTTCTTGCCATCGCCATTCACGTGGTAGTGACGAACGCACCTGATGAGAGACGGCTCGGTGTCGACGTTCGATATCTCCCGCACGCATCACTCTGAAGTCGACTGCGGAGTCTTGCATGGTGATCAAAGGTGCACGCCGTGCGCTCGGATCCACCCCTTGGGGAGTACGCGTGTCCTGTCGAGACGCGTTACGTGAGTATCACTGCAGTTAGAGATTGAAACGGGCAGATGCGAGACTCGCCTTCCCAGCGAGGATATTCCGAAGCGTATCGACAAGAAGCTGCCCGCCCTTAACCGCCAGTTCATCGCGCAGGGTTGGGAACATCGCGCCCTCCTGTATACTCTGATGCGGAGACATCAGCACTACCCCCACACGACCTCCGCTTGACAAAGAGTCGCATTTACCAAGCGTTCGGTTCCCCATATAGCTCCTGAATCTATGCCTTTCTTGCGCTCGGTCATTTCGATCACGCATACCCCTGTCTCGCACTGGCCGTCGATGAGCGCGTGCTGTATGGGCGCCGCGCCGCGGTAGGCGGGGAGGAGGGATGGATGGACGTTAAGCCGCCGAGTAGGGAGAAAGAGGTGGAGCAATGAGTTGGGAAGGATGCGCCCAAAAGAGGCGGTAATTAAAAGGTGGCTTTGCGGAGGCTGATAGGTGACGTCCTGCGACGCGTCAGAGGGCATGAAAGGTGGAGGCGCCTGCAGAGGTTATGCGACGGTTAGTGAAAAGGTATTCACGCAGGTAGGGCATGAGTGGTCACTCCCATTGAACGTCTTAAACTCTGATCGCTCGTGAGGTATCGTGTGGACATTTAATTGGGCGCCCTCCGCCAGTAACTTTAGGGGGGCTGTGGGAGACGGACTCAGTTAAACACCCCGGCCGCTCAGAAGAGTTGATGATTTACATATCGACAGTTTGGAACCACGTCTTCCCGTCTTCGTGTCTGGTTGCGTGACTACTTGTATATCCTGCCAGACATCTAACAAAGGTAAAGTAGGTACTCAGTGCATGACGAGACGAAATTCTGGAGAATTGATCAAAACCTTGTGCCTTGAGCAATTGATGTAGAACTCCACAAGAGAACTCGTCGCGCCCAAAGAAAAGCACCTTGAATGGGTCAGGTTTGCTGGAGTATGACCGGCTTACTACGCGTCGCGCGAGCATTAAACCAACGCTTCTGCCAGACGGCAGTGTTAAGTGCACGCGGAGCATTGTGCGTCGCACTTGTTTGAGATTTAAGACGTTCAGTGGGCGAACCGTCACCGTAAGGATGGTTTGAATCCGAGCTGTTGGCGTTAGTAGTTCAAACGTTTCAAAGTTACTAAACGGGATCGAACGAACATCATCACAACCGCTAGGGTTCTTACTTTTGAAATCATAAAAGTTTGATTGAGATGTTAACATACGGCGAGATGGCCGAGCGGTCTAAGGCGCCAGACTAAGGTGAGGAGTTTGTTCCTCATGGGATCTGGTCCGAAAGGGCGTGGGTTCGAATCCCACTCTCGTCAATCTTTTTGGCAGTCTCAGCCGCTAGGTCACCCTGACGGAGAACGCATATTAGTCCCCAGCCCTCGGGGCGATGGCACTTGTATGGAACACCTTGCAATTCGCGTGGTAGCGGGGAAAACGGGGGAGACGGGCATACGGCGTCCTCCAGAATCTACACCTATCCCTGTCTGATATAATTCTTGCCAAACTCTGACATAGGATAGAGATAGAACATGAATATATTCTCTCGGTGGGGCACACGACGTGCATAGGACGGGGAATAGAGAGGCATGCATGGCAATGGGGCGTCGTGTAGACCTTGGGGAAGGCCTCTACAGCGCGAAGGAGAACAATGAACGCCAATGTACATACTACAGAGCTACAGGCGCTCACATTGTTCAACCAATTTGGCGCTTGGCGTTGGGGCATCATTGCAAGCAACCATTCTTCGCCGTACGCACACTGAGGACAATGGACCTGCCCGCATTCCGGCCCACAGTCCCCTTGCGTGTACGGTCCGTGCAAATCGTGTGCGAGTAGTTGCTTGAACTTGGGGGCTTCAGTATCTAGCGTCTCGTGCTTCGTATTGCACATTTCCTGACTGCTTCGCAATCACCAGCTGGCATTTCACAGGGGTCTTACTTCGCAGAGGCGAGGCGGGTAGATGACGGGATCCATATTAGACGCCAGTAGGATCGCAAGTAGTACAGTTAGATATCGGTCGAAGAGGGGTACCTAAAACAACATAATGATACGGCAACGAAAGCGTACAAAACATAACCGACACTACGAGCATCACTCAGCTCTTTTCGTCCCAGCGTTCGTACTGGCCACCTTGCAAGCTCTTCGTATACTCCTCGTCGATCGTGACACACAGGTCGTCGAGGTCTTTGAGTGCTTGAATCAACGCTGTTAATGACGATAGTCCATCTGCGTACAAAACGCGCCAGTGTAAGGGTGGGGTATAGGAACATGCAGCAACAATGTTGAGGGGGTACGCACCGTACATCTGGAGGCGCATATTGATGTGATTTTCGGAGGGATGGGGCACGCTGTAGCACACGTTAGCATCCGGAGGTAACATGAAAAAGTGACGACTAAGGCGAAAGAGCATCGACGAAGGGACAAGTGGAGGGATTGTGGAGGAGACAAGACTTCGAGCGCTTCTGGTCGGCAAGTTGTGGACAATTGGAGAACCGACCCGATCACGCGGGCTCAGGAAACAAAAGGAATGGGTTGGGGGGTCGCGTACATAGCTGTTAACTAGCTAAGGCACAGAAGGAAGGGCGGCAAGGATTTGCGAAGGAGACTTCAATGCTTCTAGCAGGATGTCTGCTTGCACGAATGAGACGAGCAAGGACGGATGTACTGACCTGTATCCGCAGAACTCCACCTTGGGGCTTTGAGCGTTGATCACTCATCAATTCCAAGCTAGTACAAAATTGAAAGCAGGACGTACTTCTTCATCAGCATCCACCGTAACGCATTCCCGATCGTATGAGACTCATCGTGAATCTGAAATGTCGCAGCAGACAAGTCGGGCTCTGCACCTTCCAGCTGCATGTAGGGCCAGAGAAGTAAATCCTCCTGCACATCCTAGAACAATTAAGACGCACAATCCGGATTTTGGGTGTAGACTCGGCCATGGGTGGGGGGGAGCAAACAAAAGCCTCACAGACGAAGGCGCTCGACGTTGTGTAGGCGCCCGCTGCATTGGGAAGCGCGGGAAAACTAATAAGCGCCGTTACGCCTCCTTCAAGGTTGGTGCTGGCGCTGCGTCTCTTCCTCCCGCCCAAACCTGTCTACTATCTTGTGTTCGGATACAACATGAACGGCGACAAGAGAGCGTGCTTTCTGCATACCGACTACTGACAGGGCCGCGCACAATGGTTTTTGTGCAGGTGAAGGTTCTCTTAGCGAGATTACCGACTCACAAACACGCGTCAACACAGGTGTGAGTGCCTCCAATTGTTCGCCCGACAGCGCGACGCTTACCCGGCTGTAAGCGGACAAAGGACCACGGACGCTCGCATGTCTTCGCGAGGGGCTATTGACCGATTGAGTCTGCATGCGGGCGGACGACAATGTCGGCGTATCCACTTGCGTTAGCGCTGTTCGCTATAAAGGTCCGTCAATCCGCGCCTTGTGTTACCCCGCCCCCTCACCGCCTTCCTTTCTTGCGTCTCTCTCGTCCAGCGCCACTTATACCCTTATTTCTCGATATATTTAGGCAGGCCCCTGTGATCGGTACCCCGGTGGACCCATCTTGTCTTTCACACGTTCATACCCATCTCGACACACATCTCGACATAACCTTCCCGATACATCTCATCACGTTATATCCCCCACACTTGCTATATAATATGACCCGCCTCTCCCCCGTCCTGGACAACAACAAGCACTCCCGCCGTCCTACTCTCCCGCCACTTGCCTCGCTCCGTCTCCCCGACATCCGCGCACGCAGACCTAACATGAACTCCACGAGCCCGAACGCGTCTGACGCTCCTAACGGTATTAATGATAATGGCCTCCTGGTACGTTCCCCGTCGACAGAAGCATGTATCCTCGTCCTGACCGATTCTTGCACAATAGCCGCCGATCCCGCTTGAACTGAACAAGTACTCGGCGCGCCCCCGACAGACCTCCGTCTCCTCGGAGTCCACGACAACCTCATACTCCTCGTCATCGCGCTCTTCCTCTCCGGTCTCTGGGTCGAGTCCGATAACCGCGCGCCCCGGACAGAGCTTCAAGGACCTCCAGCGCTACCACCCCTACTTCCACCCCTCGCGCTATCGGGTCGTCCTTTGGAGCCGCTTCGAGGAAGCGGACGCGATGCTTATCGTCCCGCGCCGCTACAAGGAGGCAAAGGCTCAGGGCCTCAAGCCCGAACCCGCCGTGCTCGTCTTCGGACCGGCCGCGCAGCTCCTCCGCAATCCGCTCCTTCGCCGCAAACTCCCCGCCGATATCCACCCGTACCGCATTGTCCCGCGTCACCCCTCCGATCCGCTCTACCGCCCCGCCCCGTCCGCCCAGAAACCCGCCTCCGCTTCCGCTCTTGACGTTAGCATGGACGCGGAGTGAACACGGGTGGGAGAGGAGGCTGCCGGCTACCATTCTTGAACCCACGGAACGGCCCCCCTCGATTGGCTATTTTCACGGCTCCAGACACGCACGGCAACGCGAACGCTGCACGATATAGACGCACGAATGAATGGCCGGACGCTCGCAGCTGCTGCCAATGTATACATACCCTCACACGTCTGTCTCCATACCACACTCCTGCCTCCCGCGTCACCCCACATCAATTGTATTACTGCCCACACGCTGTTTCTGTTCATACGATTACGAATTGGGCTTTGGCTGTATCCTTATTGTACATTCGCTGTATCGTCGCACCTGTTCACCCCCGTAACAGTCGGGCAATGCCAGAGATTCTTGCACATCATACGACCGCACCGTACTAACGAGATGGTATCGTTTGATCAGCATACGATGCGCCATCGTAGCTTGAAGCAAGTTGTGACGCGTTTGCCAGGGACGTGTGGCGCGGACGTACGGAGTGCCATTGTGCGCCGTTTCCGTCGTGTTCAGGTGTGGGGCGCGGCGCGGGAGGAGCGCAGGAAAAGGAAAGATCAAAGGCATGCGCTCACACATGCACCTGGCCGGTCTCTCCGGGCCTGCGTGCACAGCAGAATGTGGCCATCCCGATATCCGGGAAGACGCTACGGCATCCTACCCTCCCCCGGGAGTGCACCAGCGCCGGCGGTGTGGGGCGGAATCGTGAGACGCGGATCTGGAGAGGCGTCATGCACGAATGGAGGGATGGTGGGAGGGATCGACCCAGTCACAAGCCAAAAAGGCTGATAAATGCGACCCTGTAGTAGGCCCGTGGCTCCGGCCCTGTGTCTGTCGATAGTCGTTGGATACGCAGACTATGTCTGCGACGGCGACGTCAGCGCGTCGGGTTGTCGAGCTGTCCATCCCACACATTCATGCGCCGCATGCATGCGACCGAGCGATACTGATTCAAATCTCCCCACCTCGGCTTTGCACCACGCCAAGTCTACATCACAACTTCGCCTTCACCACCCTTAGTACCTGGAGCCCCTCGATGACATCTTCCGCTTCCTTCTCGATGCGCCGCAAGAGCGCCTCACACGTCGGGACATCGTTGATAAGCCCCATCGCGATGCCTGCGCTCCAGATACCGTAGTCCTTGTCGCCGGTCTCGTACACGAGGCGGCCGCGCTGGCCCGCAACGAGCTCGCGCACATCCTCGAACTTGGCGCCGCCCGGGCGGCGCTCAAGCGCGACGACTTGCTCCGCGACCTTGTTCTTGAACACGCGCGCGGTGTTGTGCAGCGTGCGGAAGATGTGTGTCGTGTCGCGCTCCGTCGCGGCGACGATCGTGTCCTTAATATTCTGGTGGATTGGGCTGTCGACACGGACATCAGAGGTTTGGCTCACGCACGCACGTCGGAATGGTTGCGAACCTTTCGACGGTACACAGGAAACGTGTGCCTGTGAAATTACGAGTGTCAGTTACGGAGCGTCGTCGGACCGGAAATAGGCGGACGAACCCATGTTCACGCCCTGCGCGCCGCCACCTATTGTAAGCAAAATATGTCTAGATGAGATGATGCGTGTGGCTTACACATGCTCCCAGCGCCAGGGCAGACGCCAACCCGCGCCCGTCCGCAAACCCGCCGGATGCGATGTATGGCACCTTCAGCTCTTGTGCTGCACGCGCGAGCTGACAGGACGTTGATGATCAATATGCAGTGCCGCTAGAAAAAAACACGTACCAAGACTACACCGCCGATGTCCTCCTCTCCGGGGTGACCGGCGCCTAACTAGCAGTCAGTCGAGGGTCATCGAGTATGGCTGCACCCAAGTCATACATTCGAATCCGTCAATACTCAAACAGTCGACACCGAGACGCTCCGCGGACTGTGCAAGGCTGAATCAATCGCCATCCAGGCACGGACAGCATGTGGCGGCGCGCACCTTCGCGTGTCTG